GGGGGGGGGCTCCCTCCTGGATGATGGCTCTAGCTCTTCCCTCCATAAGAGAAGGCCACTTCGAATGTGCACAGACGTGGTCAATGAGAGGGGGGGGTCTAGAGACTGAGGGGGTTTGGAGGTTCTTCTGTCTGTCTGTCCGCCTGCAGCCGCGCGCCCACCCGCAAGACGCGGTTCTGGTTCGGCACCTAGGTGCTGCATACACCAACATCAGGGCGGGAATACGAGGGAAGCGACTACAGTGAATACGGCTGAATACGGCCGAGTACAGCTGAACACGTGTCCTCTCGAGCGCTAGTTGGAGTACAAGAATACCGCCTCTAGCGTTCGGCACCGGCTTGACGACGTGCTGCTTCTTCCCGAACCAAGACTTGCGCGACGGGGGGGCCTCGACGCGCCCCCACACCGTCTGGTGCAGCTCCGTCGCCGCCCCCTCGCTGCGCACCAGCATCTCCTTTGGCAGCTGCACCGGCGCCAGCAGCGCGAACTCCGCGTCGTGAGCCTAAGGTGCAGAATACGCCAACCTCGGGGCGAGAAGACGGTTCGTGCGGAGTACATGGCCAGGAGTACGGCGGTGTGCAGAGTACTAGTGGTGCATATACCAACGTCGGCCACCGTCCTACGTGCTACGAATACGCCACCCTCGGGGGCGAGAGTGCGGTGCTGTGCGGTGTCATCAGAGCACCGCGTGAATACGAGCGACAGGAGTACAAGCGATGCGGTTGCAGTACACGACGGAATACAGCCGAAGCCGTGTCCTCTCGAGCGCCAGTTGGAGTACAAGCATGCGTCTTCCGCTTCTAGTCGTCGTGAGCCGCTCTGCGCTTGGCCGCCTCTGCGACCGCCTTCTCTTCGCCCTCGACGCTGCCGGCGCTTCCCTCCGCCTCCTCGCGCGCGTCGCCGAGGCTTGAGCGGGAGCTCTCCACAGCGTGGTACGACTGCCGCAGCGGCCGGACCGCGCCGACAAGCGTCTCCTTTGTTCGCGGCGTCAGGCTGGCGTCCTCCGCCTCCTCGTCAATGCCGGCCGGCGACGGCGCGCGGTCGCCTAGGGACATGTCTCGGACGTGTCATGGACGTGTCGCGGACATGCCGGCCGGCGACGGCGCGCGGTCGCCAAGGCTCATCCGTAGGCTGCCCCGGTCGCCCGGGTCGCCGCAACTCGAGCGGAGGCTGTGCCGCGCGCGGGCGAGCCGCTCTGCCTTGCGCTCCCCCCCGGTGGGGCCGGCAATGCACCCGTTTGGAGCCGCGCTGATGCGTCTCGCGACGCCGGCGAGTTCGTCGTCCGCCTGCGTCGTGGAGCCGAGGTGAGGGCGGGAGTGCGGTCTCGCGCCGCGTATTCAGAGCAGCTCGTGTGAAGACGAGGGATGCGACCACAGTGCATACCGCGGAAGAGGGTCGGATGCAGCGGAGTGCGCGCCCCTCGAGCGCTAGGCGGGGTGCAAGAGTCCGTCTTCCGCTTCTAGGGCGGGAGATATGGGGAGCTATGGGGAGCTATGGGGAGATATGGGGAGATATGGGGAGATATGGGGAGATATGGGGAGATATGGGGAGATATGGGGAGACAGTCCGCTTCTAGGCGTGTCGTCCTCCTCCGCCGCGTCCGTCGAGGCGTTGGACGCTGGCGCGGAGCCCACCGACTCGGAGGACGAGCCGACCGCGTCCAGCATGCCTGCGAGGGCGTTCGCCGCCGCCGGAGAAGAGACGCCGCTTTCCACCTCCGCACCCTGCCCGCCCGCCTCCGTGTCCGCCGCCGCCGCCTCCCCCGCCGCCGCCGCCTCCCCCGCCGCCGCCGCCTCCCCCGCCGCCGCCTCCTCCTCCTCCTCCTCCTCCGCCGCCGCCGCCGCCGCCATTTCCCCCGCTTCCGCCTCCCCCTCCGCTTCCGCCGCGCCATCGGCTGCCGACGCCTCCGCAGCAGCCCCCGCCTCCTCCTCCTCCTCCTCCTCCTCCTCCGCCGCTGCCGCCACCGCCGCCTCCGCCGCCTCCGCCGCCTCCGCCGCCTCCGCCGCCTCCGCCGCCGCCTCCGCCTCCGCCGCCGCTGGCGCTGCCGCCGCCTCAGGCGCCACCGCCTCGTCGGACGCGTCGTCTGCTGCCACTCCATCGCCAGGGTCTCCCCCGCCTGGGCCTTCCTCCCTGGAGGCCGTGTCCGCCTGGCTCTTTCTAGCCGCGATCACCTCCGAGGCAAGAGCCGCTGCGCCGCCGGACGCGACCGCGTCGCCGATGATCTCGAGCATCGCATCCTAGGCGGGTGGGTACGTGGGCCTCTCCACACGCACAACGTGGTGGGGAAGGGGCCAGGCAGCCCCTCGCATCTCCACACCCGGACACGGGCAGGAGCCGGCACGGCACACATCAAAGTGCAAGGCCCGGCGCACGTGGTCAGGGGCGGGAGTACGGTCTTGTGCAGAGTAGTCAGAGCACCGCGTGAATGCGAGGGGTACGAATACATGAATGCAGCTGAAGGCTGACTACGCGACCTCTCGAGCGCTAGTTGGGAGACAAGAATATCCGTATTCCCCTTCTTGGCGTCGCGGCCTTCCCGGCGCGGCCTTCCGCCTTCATCGCAGCTAGCCGCGCCTAACGCCCAACCGGAGGAGTGTTAGGCCGAGGCCTCGGGGGTCCGAGGGACGCGTCCAAGCGGTCGGCGCGCCTTCATCTCCGCCTTCTTTTGCGCCGCCGCCGAGCTCGCACCGTCGTCGGGCGCCGCCGGGCCGCCCTCACCCGCCGCCGCCGCCTCCGCAGGCGGCTCGGCGGGAGGCTCGGCAGCCTTGGACTCGTCGATCGTGTCCTCTGGAGCCGGAGCGGGAGCGGGGTCTTCGGCTCCCGCAGCAGCCTCCTCCGCTGAAGGAGGAGCCGGCGGATCTTCAGCGGGCTCGGCCGCTGCTGGTGCATCCTCCTTTGCCGCCGCCGCTGCCTTCTCCGCCTTGATGCGCGCCAGCCGCTCTTTGGGAGTCTCCTTCTTTGCCTCGGCCGCCGCAGGTTCCACTGCCGGCGCTGGCTTCGCCTCGGCCGCCGGAGGCTCCGCTGCCGGCGCGGGAGCAGGCTCCTCGGCTTGGGCGGCGGCGGCGGCCGCCGCAGCCTTCTCGGCCTTCATCCGAGCTAATCGCTCCTTGACCGACTCTGGCATCGTTTCGTGCTTTGTGCTGTTGA